CGTAACAACAAGAGCATTAGAAAACGTACAAGCCGGTAATCAAACAGTCTCGTGTTGGGGTGATGGATTTCAAGCGCCGCAGATCGCGGAATATGATCCAATTAGATCACAGAAAGGGTCAGAGGGAATTTACTTGTTTAAGGTCACGGGTGAGAGGGACGAGACGATCGAAAACGATGGAGCAATCGCACTGTACTGAAGCCGCTCGGCTGCTACAGGGTGCAGATACTTGGCCATAACGGAAAAGGATAAAGAAAAGCTGTCGGTGTTCGAACAGCTCTGCATTGCACGAGTCCACCGGGAAACCGGACAAGCTATGCTGAAGGTAGGAGCAGTTTTAGTTAACCGCGGTCTTCCACTGGAGGAAGTGGTTGACTTCCGTCTATTACTTCGTTTGGCGGCATATGTTACTTATGTGAAAAATGGATTGCCACGACACTTGTTATTTGCCGAGGCAGGTAATGGATGGACAAAAGTAACCAGTGGTCAGACAGACCTGGTATGAGTGTGTGAAAGCCCTGACCAGGAGACTTGCTCACATGGTTCGCGTTAGGCTTCCTGGATGGAGACCTCTGGATCATTATAATCGGTGGTCAGAGAAATAAGTTTATATGGCTGTCGTAAACGGTAGGGGTCGTGTCCGCACGTTGCAACCTTAGTCTTCGTGAATAGTGTATCTTCATCCTGACACTCATTTGAACATTTCTTACTTCCCCTTACTTATTCATCCGAATAGGTAGTCGTCAGTCAACAATCAAAACGGTCACACGAAAGAGCATAGTTAAGGAAAAACTGAAATTAAGAAACCTTCAAACTAAAAATTGAGCCGGTTAAGCATCAAGATAAGATATCAGTAGAATGTTATAAGTTCTATGTTGATTGGTACGAAAATATTCTAGCAAACTTTTCACCCGCAGGTTATAATAGTATGGACTTTAAAATTGAGGTGTATGAATGTATACCGCTAGTAAAAGTGGATAATGCACTTAAATACACCACACGGTAATCCATCCAGTTACCTAGAGCCGTATTTTCTGTTCTAACAGCAGCTTTGACCGTGCATCCAAAATTTCCGAACCAACAGTGGTTCATTTAATGAGACCAGATCAAAGTTCCCATCAAACCAAATAGTTCTTCACATCGTAACAAACTCCTCACTACTATGATATCAATATACTCATTCCGTTTTTGTGCCTACGTCCCCTCGGTCTACTGATTGTTATTCGCGGCTGAAACATTACTTCACCACCCCGCGCGTTATCCCCCCACTGAGTCCGCGGTATTGAGCCGAGCGATAATGTAACTGCCTACCACCAAAGTGGGTGGCGGTGGCGGAATTCACAAGTCTGACCAAACCGGGTGCAGTATGGTAAACCACCGGCACCTACTTGGGTCTTCACACAAACCAATGTTATTCACACTTTCTGAGTCCGACAGCTTATTATTTGGGAAGTAATCAACCCATCTCCCTTCGGGTATTGACATCCCCCGAGATTGCATGCTCACCCATTTCCTTCTCTTTATGAACGACTTGTTATCCTCGACTTCAACACTATTCACGCTTCTGCTGATAGTCCAACCCTACATTGTTTTTTATCCTGCCACTCCATCGTTGGTAACTTTGATGGCGACCTTTTTATCCTCACAAGCTCTCACTGTCGACCTTAGGCATATCGCTCGTTGGGGTTTGAATAGCTTTTCTGTTTCATACTTCAGGGACTTTCCCTGGGTCAGTTTTACGGAGACATCACTCTCGATTCTTA